TCTCATGTCACTTTTTTGTCTGCTACCATTACGAACTTCGCTTGTATCGCTCATCATATCCGTCTAATAGTTGAGATGTTTTCTCAATGGAGATCGATAAATTCGAGACACTATACAGAATTGTGCTCGTTAAGATCATTACAAACGAGCTCTGACAACGATCAGCGTGTTTCAATCATCTGAACATCAACGATTAAATTAATCCATTTAAAACCGAATGCTTGCAGAGGTTATGCATGATAGTTTTGCGTTCAGAGTTTCTTTTTGTTTCTAAATAAATAAATTTTTTTCTTACCCTCGGGATCGATTCATTTCACAATTCACTATTTAAAAGCATCAGAAGCCGTAGAATAAATAGTTTCTTGTGTGACGGTATTCCATCAGTTTCGTGGATTCAAACTTCGTCAAATAGTTATTAAAACTGCCGTGGACGGTGATAAATTCAAGGAATGGTTTGCACCCTATATAATGTGGGGACAAAACAACACATCTTGTATCCAACTGCCTTCTTTAAGGCCACCAAAATCATGAACCAATTTTTATCTCATAGTTCTCACAACAACAGTATTATCGAAGACTGTTGTTTAACGTCTTAAATATATGTAGTTAAAGTTCATGATAGGAAATGTTGCATCTGGGTAGACGCATAATGAAAAGGCAATATATAGCACGCGTACAAGAAGGGATGAAACAATAGACAAATCAAAGGAACTGTAATCAAGGGCCGAGGATACTGATCTTCTAATCAGAGATCTTCCAATTTTGAGCAGTGCATCACCTAAACCAAAATAATGCAGTTTTCAGTGGACCATTTGGCGTCAAGCGTGGTTCAGTGTATCAATCCAAGAAGATCTAAAATTGTGGCGAGCAAACACGTAAAAACCGTGGAAAATGCTGGAACGTGTTTGGACTGATGTAGCGAAGAGCAATATTGACAGTAAGCAGAACTAACTGATCTATGTACACATGAACACATTATCGAGTTGTTTTGCACAGTGTTGTTTTGATGTGATTTGCTTGGTGGATATAATTAATCCAGGTCTGGAAGGACATACGCAGGATCTGAATCATTCAGAACATTCATTCAGTTTGCTGATTCACCGTGTACAATTGATTCACTGCTTTTTATTATTCATGTTTATCTGATATGTTCTATTTCAGAGATTTGTCTTTTCTTTTTGTTTCATTGCAAGCATATATATGATTTGTATCATAGTTCACCTGTTATCTGATTATTAGTGTTGTTATCTTTTTATTGTTGTTATCAATTGTTTGATGTAAACATTCTGTTCATAACCGTAATAATAATTGATTGCCATAACAAGGTGTGTTGTTGTATCGATCGCAATCGTGTTTTATTTGCTTTTTGAACGCTTGTTGTGACGTCTTTTCGGGCTGATCATAGCATTTCAGTGTGGCGAATTCACTTTCTTAACCACCAGTTTCTTCGTTATTCGATCATTTTATTAGCATTAATTATCAACATACTAGATCTGTGTTAGGGTTGACTATTGATAGTATTGTCATTGATTTAATTAGGCAATGTGAACTCTTTGCAGAGGGGAATTTCTCGAGTGATCAGCAGAATTATTATAGCTCGCTTTGAGCGAGATCCTTTGCGCTTAGCTCTAGCCATATCTGTGAATGTGAATGCACTGCTGATACAATCAAATGAAGTTTATTGAAGACACAAACTGAGCATATGATTTTTTTTTGCCTTTTCACATATCAATTATCTATCACTATTATGATCACTTCACTTTTGCAAATGGAAACTTAATTAGAATTATGTGTCCACATGAATTTATATGTATGTATATAAACACTTTGATTTTCGTCTTTGCATACGTTTAGAAAAGAGTGAACGTTTGCAAAAATGTTTCAAGGGCGGAGTATTATTTGTGGTTGGTAGCATTGAGCTGATCAAATCGTTATAATAGTCGTTTGTAACGATAGGAGAGCAATTATCTGTGACACTGTTGAACTACTGTGTTCGAATCTATTGCAGCTGAAGTGAACTGATTGGAGTGCAAACCACTGATATTCAACTGCTTATCATTTTAAGAAATAAACTCAATCACCAACATTCAATGAAGCAATCGCAACATGCATGTAAGTTACTCTATTTCTTCTGATGTGAGTCAATTATCCATCGCTTTTATATGCACTAAACTATTATACTTCGATCCAAATTCACATTGCAATTGCCAATTTCTCCATATACGCAATTAACTAAAATCTGCCAAAAAAACCAAGTTCCCCCAAGTCTCTTTGCACATCGCGCTGTTTAATTCGACGGAGAGGTGAATGAGAATGAAAACTGGATAACGAGAGAGTCA